CAAAGACAGGCCTATGTCTTGTTTAGTGTCTTTGGATGTGGTAGTGATGCCTGGTGCAGAGGCAGCCATTTTGTAACAATAAGGCTCACCCACTGGGTGACAGCAGAGTAGAATGATAGCTGGGGTCCTCATGGCAAAGTGGTCTGACAAATCAGCCCAAAGATAACTTACATCCAGACTCACTGAAGTCTAAGAGAAACAAATGTGCCTCAAGTTTGAGCCACTAGCAGTCACATTTTCTGTTATTTACAGGTGAAGCACCCCTACTGAACCTGACTCTGTCTCAGAGCTTCCCAGCCCTCATTTCCCACTTCCTCCTTCCCAATAGTGGTTCATCTGCATCCATGCCCTGGGGCCTAAGCAGGGAGGACTGCAGGCTGGGAGAGAAGGTATGGTCAGCCACTATCCTGGGGTCTGGACTCATGGAAGGCTGGCTTTCAACCCATGACTCTGTGGTCTCTGCTTTCTGGGCCTCCCCAGGGCTGCATTTGCCTCTCTGAGCCAGCAAGCAAGGCTTCTCCCATCCCCGTAGAGACCGCCTGCCTGCCTTGTGGTCGTGCCTACAATAGTGGGTACTGGGCCACACTGCAACCTCCATGGAGACTAAGCTTCAGCCACAAGAAGCCCTCAGGGCTTTGAAGTCTGAGGGAACTGGACTTGGATCTTCCTCTCCAGATGGGTACTGGCTGTGTGACATTGGGCAGGTCATTTAGCCAAGCTGAGTCTTGGTTTCTTAATCAGCACAGAGAAAACGCTACTATCTATCTCATGGAATGTCATGAGCTTCAAAAGATGCAGTGGCTACAGGAGGGCCTCCACTGGCTGCCATACCATGAAAGGGCCACATGGCAGGGCCTGGGGGCAGCCCTGGGGAGGGGAGAGGCACTCTGGTCCAGACGCCAGGACTTTCATCTTGCAGCTGCGAGGAAGTGAATTCTGCCAAGAACCAGTGAGCCGGGCAGAGACCCCCATGCCTTGGGTGAAACCACAGCCCCTGGCAGTTGGCCTCAGCCCAGTGAGACCCAGGGCTGGGCGGAGCCTGGACTTCAGATGCAGAGAAAGTGGCAGGTGTCAATTCTTTTGGATCCAAGTCACCAGGCTGCTGGTCACCTAACCATGTGACCTGTGGAACAGTGCTGTTGGAGCGAGCAGGCGGGAGCAGGAGCGAGTGGTCAAGTGCAGAGGGGTCACAGTGGTTGGCCCTGGTAAGGGCTCATTGCGCACTGCTCTCATTACTCTCCTGGCTCTGCTAACTGAGTGCCTTGTCGTGTGGATATCTTCTCCCAGTGCTGGCTTTGACAGCTGCCACCATGCCCCCAGGCCCCATCCTCCCCACTGCCGCCCTCCCCCTGCCTGTCAGAAAGAAGCCTCAGAGCGGATTCACACCCCTCGGAGAAGACCAGGGTGCAGCTCCTGAGCTGTGCTGCCTCACAGGCCTTGGGGCAGCAGACGTCAGCGCCTCTGGGGCAGAGGCGACAGCTGCCCGCCAGCCCCCTGCCAGCTGGCGGGAGAGGGCAGCTGCTCAGAGACCCCAGCACGAGAACCGAGAATGCCACCGGGCCTTCCCTGTGGCACTGTGCATGGCAGGACCCTGCCCAAGTGTGAAGGTCTTCTGTGACATAAAAAATGTTACTCATAACCATCACAGTGGCCCAAACCCCAGCACCACACAAGGGATTCCTGGAGACCTGGAACCATTCGCCATGAGCCACGCTCAAAATAACCTCTAAGAAGTTCTGAATTAGGCCGGTGCCATGGAACAAGCCTGTAATCCCAGTTACTTGCAAACAAGAGACTCCATCTCAACCAACAGCTGGGCATGGTGGTACCTGCCTGTCATCCAAGTTACTCCAGAAAGGATAGGACAGTGGTCCAGGCCAACTCAGGCATAAAGTGAGACCACATCTCAAACATAACCAACCCAAAAAGGGTGGGGGTGTGGCTCCAGTATTAAAGTGCCTTCCCAGCAAAGTGCAAGGCCCCAAGTTCAAACTCCAAGACCACAAAAAAAAAAAAAAAAAATCTCTAGCTCAACCAACTTCGAGAACCCAGACAAATCCTGGAATCAGCGATCGAGAAGGATCTTGACTTACTGACAGATGTCAAATAACAAATTACTATTCATGGATCAATCCACTGAATCCTTGTAACTGATAAGGATTACTATGTTGCCTTTACAGAGGAGGAAACTGAGGCACAGGCAGGCTAAAGAGCTTATTCAAGAGCTGGGATTTGAACCCAGGGAGACAGAGGCCAGGCTCACATTCTTTTACAACGCTTGCTGGTTTGCTTTGCAGAGCTGGGGTCCGTGCCAAATCACTGAGCTACCCTCCTACCCTCCTGGGCACTCTTAACCACCGCGCCCAACAACCAAAGACTCGCTAAATCTTTGGTAACAGTCACTGTTTGGGGGTGGACTGCAGATTAGCCCAGGATGTCCTCTATGTGAAGCAGGGACCCAAACACATCCGTGCCACGGTGTCATCTACCTTCTGCAGAGGCTTGGCTGGGCCCCTGCACCAGGCAGCCTCACTCAGCTGGGAGTGCCTAGGACAGGCCTGGCAGGTGGCCAGAACAATTCCTAGGCTCAGCGCACACAGCTCCTGGGGCTGCAGGAGCCTTTGTAAGGGGGTGGGGAGGGAACTGGGAGCAGGAATAGCAACCCCCAGTCTTCTCTGAAACTCTGCTCCCCCTGCCCGCCATCCTGAAGCCCCCAAGTGCTCACCCACCAGCCCTGCTGCCTGCCCCACTGCTCCCCTCCCCATTAGGGGCCACACAGATGCTCAGAGCAGGACATTCCATGACTTCCTCCCCTGGGGTCCGTCGGTGCTGGCACAGGGTGCAGGTGGGAGGGACTCGGCTCTCTGTAACTGGTGACCACACTGTGAGTATCTGTCTCTCTGCTCTAGAGCCCCGGAGAGGTGGCCCTGGTTGAAGCAGAGCTAGACATACAACTTCAAGACCACCCGGATTGTTCTCTCTCCCTCCCTCTGTTTCAAGGGAAGACCCCCCCCCTCCAGGAACTCAGGGACCTCTTACGCAGGTGCATCACACCCAGGAGGTACCAAGTATCACTGCCTTTGGGTACTCATCAGAGCTACTGAGTACCTACTGTGTGCCAAGCAAGTGCAGAGAAGCATGCTAGGTGCTTCTGCGCCTCTTTCCTGTCCACTGTGTGCCGGGTGCTGTTCTGAGCATGAGAGCTAGGAGGTTTCTCCCCAAGAACATGCACATGACAAACAGGGAAACTGAGGCTTAAAGGTTGCACCAACTGGTGAATCACAGATTCTGTGACAAGATGTCTGTGAGCTACAAGATCCTATGCCCTGTCTTCTTTCCCCTCCACGGGAGCAGTGGGTTCAGGGTCTGCACAGGGTGGGAATCCCTGCGTCAGTTACTCTGGGGAAGGGGGCAGTGTTCGGACATCTGAGATCCCCTAAGGGGGTCCTCGGCATGGACTGAGCATCCAGGGCCCAAGGGGATACAGAAGGCAGAGATTGGATTGAGAGGGTTCGTGGAAGAGAAGACACACGAGGCCTGGCTTTTCAGAGTGGGGACAAGAAGGCAGTGGCAAACTGGGGAATGGGCTTGTTCAGAGGCTGGGAAGCAGAAAGGCTCGGGGATGACCTGAACACTGAAGATGCCAGGCACTGGTTGAAGACTGGCAGGAGTGCCAGGCAGGGCTGTGCACACAGGAGGAGGGCAGGCCATGCAGCTGCTGACAGAAGGAGGTGAGACAGGAGCTAATGGGCCATCAGGAATGCCCAGCAGAGGAATGACAAGATGCAAATGGCGCTGGAGAGGGCTCTGGCAGTGCTGGGTGTGGGACCCAGAGGGAGAGGCATTTGGGAACTGCCACAGGAGCCCCCTGGAGGGTCTGCCTGGGGGATCATTGTTCCACCTCATCAGCCCTCACTTCCCCAGGCCCCCAAGTCCTCAGGAGAAAGCCCCGAGTCTGCTGTCTTTCACACTCAGCTCTACCTATACCTCTCCAATGTCACAACTTTGTAACATACAGCAGGGGAGCTAGGAAGGACACCAAGATGGACATAGAATCGCACTAAAGATGGGATGGACGACTTGGACCAAGGGTGCAGCCAGGGTTCTGGAAATGCTATTGGGGCCATGCATGGCACCTCCAGAGAAACCTCAAGATAGGTTATGTCTGGACCACTGTGACCCTCACAGTCCTAGCAAGGCAGCGATCAGGGAATCCCCCTTCTCCACCCCTATCTTCCTACTGCCTGAGTGGCCCCCTCCTTTAGGTGAACCTGGGAGAGCTCTGCTCAAAGGAGTCACCCCATGCCTGGCATAACAGGACTGAGGATGGGGGTTGGGAGCCCACCAGCACACTCCCCCTCCTCCCTGCTAGGTTCTAGAATTTCACACAGTTCCATTCTTTTGCCTTGAGATTTTTTTGACCCAAGTTATTGGGGTTTTTTGTTGTTGTTTTTTAAGAGTGACACGTTAAGTTGTGGGTTCTCCACGCTCCGTTTGACTGAGTCCATCTGAGCTCTGCCTTGCTGAAGGAGAAGAAAGGTTTTGGAATACTGGGGTGGGGGTGAGGACGCTGGGGCAGAGGTCACCGGAAAGGAGGCCACAAAAGGGCTGGGCATGCCTGGGAGTGATGGGTCAAATCACTGGATCCTCCATTTGGGGAGGGTCTGATCAGAGGCAACCTGAGCAAAGATCCTGGGGTAGTGTTGCTCCCTCTCCCCTTCCCCACTCAGGCAGCGGAACCTCTGTTCCCGTGTCTTCCTGCCGTCCTCCAAGCAACAGCCTGGAGTGCAAACTTTCCGGGCTGTGACCCCAGCTGGGCGTCCCTTTCTGCCGTCACTACCCGCAAGTGGCCAGGGGCTTCTGGCAAGGGGTAGGGGGGCGAACTAGAGACGAGGACATTCTGGGAAGGGGACTCATGGAGGTAGGGGGTCGAAGCTGCAGGAACCGTGGGGCTCCGGCCCAGGGGCGGGGCAGGGGGACCCGGGCAGCGGGCGGCTCACCTGCAGGACACGGTGATCTCCACTTTGGTGGCCGGGATGCTGCCCGCCAAGGAGTCGAACTCGCTGAGCGACGCCATGTCCTCGGGCTGCTCCATCACCCACCGCACCCCTACCCCAAATTAGTCAATTCCTGCGCGATTCACGCCTCCTCCGGCGACTGGAGCCCTGGGCGCTCCCCCAACTCGGGAGACGGGGCTGGGCGCAAGGGGAGGAGGAGAGCAGCGCGACGAGGGGGCGTGGGAAGTGAGAGAGGGAAGGGGCGGAGAGCGGGGGCCGCGGAGAGAAGAGGGGCGCGGGTGACGCCGCGCGGCGCTGGGGGGGGTCAGTGGGGCGAGGCAAAGAGGGGCGCGGGGA